TGTATATCAGCCTTCTTTCGTGTAGCATATGCTAAATGGGTTAGAACTACATTTCCCCATATTCCCAGTCATCGGGCACATTGTTTTGGATTCTAGGATCTGTTGTTCCAGCGCATCTGAGATTGATGGTAGGTTGGAAAAAATAAGGTAAAATCTTCTTAACTTGATAACTTTATGGACACCTATTCTTTGGCAGTAATAGAGACATGGTTTATCATTGTCTTTTTTTGCACATTTTTCTAAACTTGGTCTATCTAGTCTGCAATCCTGATTTTCTTTGAATGACTGTCACCTGCCCTAGATCAGGGCCTGACTTGCTTAGTTGAGATATGATTGGTTGAGTGCTGCCACCTACTGTTCAACTGAAGCTTTGTCCAACTTTTTGGCTTGCTTGGGCCACATTGAGTGAAAAGACATTGTTATCTTGGGTGGCATATGAAGCACATAATATAGTTAATATCTTTAGATAGTAAGCTTCCTTTTTAAAGATATTTTTATTATCTTGTGGGTTACAGGTTGGACACACCTGCTTTAAGGCCAGGTTTAGGGTTAGCTCTTTAAACAAGAAAGGTAATTGTATTTACTTACACGTAGTCCTAAACTTACAACAGTTCATTTAGTGACCGTTCAAAGTTGCAACAGCACCAAAAAAGTGACTTATGACCATTTTTCACACATGATCATTGCAGCATCCCCATGGTCAGGTGATCAAAATTCAGCCATTTGGCAACTGACTCATATTTATGATGGTTTTGATCTTACAAGCGAAGTCAGTGGGGAAGCCAGATACACTTAACAACCCTGTTACTAACTGATCCACTGCAGTGATTCACTTAACGACTGAGGCAGAAAAGGTCATAAAATGGGGCAAAATTCACTTAAGAAATGTTTTGCTTAGCAACAGAAATTTTGGGCTCAATTGTTGTTGTAGGTCAAGGACTATATTTGTTTGTTTGTTTGTTTATTACATTTTTATGCTATCCTCTCCTCTACAAGGTGACTCTGGGCAGCTGAGTAAAAATGAGTAAAAAGTCTTACTGTAAAGTAAAAGAAGACTAGATTGCTGCTTGGCAGCCCCCATGATTATAATAGTAGCAGATAAAAGTAGCACTAGGAATTGCACTTAGACTTATATACCACCTCACAGTGCTTTACAGCCCCCTCTAAGTTCACAGAGTCAGTATATTGCCCCCCCCAACAATCTGGGTCCTCATTTTACCAACCTTGGAAGGATGGAAGGCTGAGTCAACCCTGAGCCGGTCAAGATCGAACTCCTGGCAGTGGGCAGTAAGTTAGCCTGCAATACATTCTAACTGTAGGAAGCATTCTAAATGTAGGAAGCAGCAGTAGGTTAAGCCATGCCATTGGTTGGCCCATGTCACAATTGTGTACTTTTTGCACCCTTCCTTTCTGTCCTGGCTTTCCTCAATGTCTATGACATCCTGTTTCAAGAGGAACTAGGCACAAGTATTATGTTGCGTTGAGTGATCTGGCTCAGCTGTGTGCTTTTTAGCCTTGGTGATAAAGGTAAAACTCAGTTTGGTTAACAGTTAGCCACAGATCATTGAATTCTTCAATATGTATTGCATTCAGTGCCCTAAGCGAAAACCAAATAAAGCACATTATGAATTATGGTTTGCCTACAATCAAGAATCAGGAAAGGAGTCGTCATCTTAAGAGGCAGTGGGAAAGTCCAGATTTCCTCTTGCTATAACAAAGGGTTGGCCTGGAGCAATGTTTCCCAATCTCGGCAACTTTATGATGTATGGACTCCACAAGCTGGCTGAGGAATTCTGGGAGTTGAAGTCCATACATCTTAAAGTTGCCAAGATTATGAAACAATGGCCTAGAGCAGTGACCTCCAACCTTTGGGACACCAGGGACTGGTTCCGTGGAGTTTTTTCTGTGGACCAGAGGGGGCCTGGTTTCGCATGCTGCCTGCATCCCGTGGATGGGGCTTCTCTTGTTTGCGTGGACCAGTTTTGGCATGCCATGGACTGGTGCCAGTCCACAGAGTGGGGGTTGGGGACCTCTGGCCTAGAGTATAAAGGGTAGGTTCATATCCTTACTCAGCCAAGAAGGTAACTGGATGATTTCGGAGCAGTTGTTCCTTCTCAGCTTGATCTTTCTTCACAGGATTGTAGTGAGAGTCTGGAAGAAAAAAGTGAAAATTTGGTAGAGAGCCAGCTGAATATAGAGGTTAAGATATCAAACTAGAAACCTTGAGTTCTAGACTGTTTTAGGCATCACGCTAGCTGAGAGACTTTAAGTCAGTCATGCTCTTACAACCCTGGAAAGGAGACAGTGGTAAACCACTTCTGAAAATCTTGCAAAAAGCAGTCCCTAGGAGTTGCAAAAAAGCAGTTGTTTTTCTTAAGAAAAGTGGTTGCTAGAAGTTGCAAAAAAGCAGTTGCTTTTCTTAAGAAAAGCACTTGTCAGGAGTCAACGACGAACACACACACACACACACACACACACACACACACACAAAGAATCATATACCAAAGGTATGATATATACTAAAGGTGGGTGTCAACAACCTTTTGAAATACTCCTCCAATTTGGGAAATCTCTCTGAATTTATTTTTTTCTATTTTCTCCAATTTTGCCTTTATGAAAACTACAGGCAGGCCTCATCTTATGACCATAACTGAGCCTGGAATTATAGTCATTAAATAGTGCCAGTCATTAAGCCGGTCATCACATGATTGACCATATTTTTGGGAGGGCAGTTGTTAAGTGAATCACAATGGTTGTTAAGCAAATGCTGTGTTTAACTGAGCCATTATCTGCAATGGACTTTTTTTTTTGCTGGAAACCATAATAAAATGAGGTCAAGTGACCACATGATATGGCTAATGGGCAAATAAATAAAATATAGCGGTATATAAATGCCCCTCCTATTGCTGAGGACTCAAAATGTCATCACATGACTGTGGAGGAAGGGTGGCAGAACTTCAAAATTGTGTCATAAGTATCTTTTTCTGGGTCCCTTGTAACTTTGAACAGTCACTAAGCTACCTGTCGTAAGTCAAGGACTACCTATATAGCACCAATAAGGAAGCAGCCCCATGGAGTTCCTTCGCGATGTGTACCCTTGAGATTGAATTCTTACGTTTGGAAGCCAAATTGCAGGATCCAGTCTGGGTGTCACAGGACCAGAGATTTAGTCTTCCAAGCTTTCAGACTTTGTACTGAATAAGAATAGCCCTAAGCACACATTCTGGTAAGAGAGAAGTTCCCCCAGGATGGGCTCCAGCACAAATTCAAAAACTTGGGAGACTAAACCTCTGAGGTCCTGGTAACCGACCCAGATCCTGCAACATTATCCAGGGATATGTACAGTATATTTGCCTTCATTCGGAAGCCAAATTGATCACACAACACCAGAGACAGGGATGTTACAATGAGCAGCAGGACTTTGTACACACCTCTTTATTAAATAAGGGCAAGAACACCAGGCCACACTTTATATTTCTCTACTCCTGAGAGTGAGAGGTTGCAAGCAAATTTATTTCAATCCAGAAAAGTGAGAACTTTTGTGTAAAGCATGGGGGCTCAATCTGGGTTGCATTAACTGAAGAGGAATTGTCTTGGGCCACTTATGAAATATATAGTTCATGTATATAAATCACATTATAATGTTAAACATTTACGATCTTGTGGGGCCGCATTACTAGCTGTCCAGGGCTGCATGTGGCCCCTGGGCCATGGATTGAGCACAGCTGATTCAAAGAAATGCAGAGAAAATTCTCTGCTTAGCATTAATGTCAATAGTAATATATAAGTTATAAAGTAAGCCATATTTGGGGCAATATGGATAAGCTGGCCTGGTCATTGATTGCTTTTGCAAATCAGAGAAATTGTATGCATGCACGTATACACCCAGCTTTAAATCCCCAAGAACTCAGTCATGTACTAAGTTTAAATTTAAACAAAATTATACTGTAGTGGCCTTCCTCCAGTTAAGTGCTACAGTAGAATGCAGATGAGAGCTATTGAATGTCCATGCTAATAAGTCAGTTTCCCAAACACACCTCCCTTCCCTTAGCCTTTTGCTTGGCTTATCCTGGCTCTAATATTTCTGAATCTCCAATTCTCTGGACTCTTATTTAGTCACACTGTTGGCAGGAAGACAGGGAAAGACATAAATATTGTTGCTGTCTTAGCTTGTAAAGCTCTGCTGTACAGAAAACACTCTGAGGTGTTTTCAAAACCCAACACCTCCCCCTGTGGGATGTTACCGAGTCTTGATTGTCAGGTTTTCTCTAAGACCCCCATTGCAACATTTGGGGGCATCTGGCAGAAGCTTTGCTGAATGCTTTTTCATTGTGTCCCTGTGAAATCTCCCCCAGCTGAAACATTTGGTTGCATTCTCAAGAGGGAAGGGAGTTTGTGATAGTGGTGGTGGGGAAGCACAATGGGCTGTGTCTGACTCTAAAATGGCTCTGGTTTCTCACAAGACTTGGCATGTTTCAACTGACCAGATGGGACGTGGATTCTTTGCCACGGATACATGTCTGTGAGAATGTATTGTACTATGGGAAAAAGGATCCCAGCCTTGTGAAAGACCGAATGGCAGTTTTGATCCATTGCATGCTGAGCATTCTGCTAAAAGCTGCAGGCACCAAAGGATAATAACATTAATGTTCAAATTTGGTTTTTAATTTGCCTTGATGGTGGTTTAAAGGTTGTGTAAGCATGGAGGTACTGAGGAAATTTCCATGGATGTCATTTTTGTTACACGACATTCCACTGTTCGGAAATCTTCCTAGTTACCTAAAACTTTGCAATCTTAAACCACCTCCAGGTAAAAATCCACCCTTCCATGTTTTCCATTCCCTATTATTCTGTGTTCTATTTTCTAACTAGATGGTGAATGAACAACAGATAGGTTGGCTCACACAGTATCTCTTTTACTAACAACGTATTGACATTTTGAAGAAGCTGTTGTCATTGGATTGTAATTTGCTGTTCTCATCTGCTTTTTTCTTGCCCAGTATCTTCTAAAAGCCAACGAATGCCAAATGAAGCAAGGGCCAGATTTTCTGCAGAGTCTCATCAAGTTTTATCATGCGCAACATAAGTAAGTGTATAGCTAAATGTCTGTGGAGATTCTCAGTCATCCAGGCCTTAGTTATCCCAAAGATGCTTCTTCATGAGGCAACTGGACTTCCTTGTTTTTCTTTGAAGACGTTTCACTTCTCATCCAAGAAGCTTCTTCAGCTCTGAGTAAGTAAGTGTATTACAGAGTTGGCTCTGCAGTTTGTCAGCATGACTCCTTTCGATGGGCTTCTTGAGTACAGCTCAAGTCCTTGAGGCTGTTTCAAACAATATGAAATGTGGTTGAATACCTGCTTCTGTGGCAGCAAATAGGCTAACCTCTTCATGTTTTCTTTTTTTTCCTTCTCCATCCTTGGCTTTTAAATATTTCAAAATGTTTCCAGTTTCTTCCAAGATGGCTGGAAGGCATCTCAGAACCTCTACCCATTCATCGAAAAACTAGCCGCCTCCTTACATGCAGTAAGTTGTCACTGGATTTTCACCTGACTATGAACTCATGTTCAGCTCTTGACTTACAAGCATGGCTTTCTTAGCTATGAAAAGGACCGGGTGGCTAGATTTTCAATAAGCAAGGGTAGTCCTTGACTTATGACAGTTTGTAAATTAGTGACTGTTCAAAGTTACAGTGGTGCTGAAAAAAGCGACTTATGACCGTTTTTCACACTTACGACCATTGCAGCATCCCTATGGTCACGTGATCAAAATTTGGACCTTGGCAACTGGCATGTATTTATGACGGTTGGAATATCCCAGGACCATGTGTTTCCCGTTTGTGATCTTCCGACAAGCAAAGTAAATGAGGAAGCCAGATTTATTTAACAACCCTGTTAATAGAATCCAATCTGGGCCGGTCACCAGAATCAGAGATTTAGTCTTCCGAGCTTTCGGATTCCTACTGGAACCCATCCTTGGGGAACCTCTACTGGAATGTAGTAACCCTGTTATTAACTTAACAACTGAAGTGATTCAGTTAACAACTTGGTAAGAATGGTCATAAAGTGGGGCAAAACGCACTTAACAATTGTCTTGCTTAGCAATGGAAATGTTGGGCTCAATTGTGGCCGTACGTCAAGGACTACCTGCATGAGCTGTAGTGGCGCAGTGGTTAGAGTGCAGTTCTGCAGGCTAATTCTGCTGACTTCCAGCTCTCTGCAGTTTGGCAGTTCGAGTCTCACCGGGCTCAGGGTTGACTCAGCCTTCCATCCTTCCAAGGTTAGTAAAATGAGGACCCAGATTGTTGGGGGGCAATAGGCTGACTCTGTAAACCTCTTAGAGAGGGCTGAAAAGCACTGTGAAGTGGTATATAAGTCTAAGTAGCAAATAGCTGTTGCTATTTTTTTTTTGCCATGCTTAGCCTGACCCATTCAATACCATGCTTACACCCTTTCCGTTCTCTTCTGGGTTTCTTCTCCATGCATGGTGCTCCTTCTATGAAAGCACAGCCTTTGTTTCTTTCAAATCCCACATCAGAACTTGGGTTTCTGTTCTTTTCTGCCTATTCCTTGAATGTGAGAAGTCCATGCACCTTCAACTTGCCAAGGTTGAGAAACAGTCTGACTGCAGATGAGTTCTTGAAATACTCCACCAAGCTGCCCAGTGGAGAAGCTTGTGTGAATGGTTTCTCCCCTGCATTTTCGTCTGGAGAACAAGAAATTATCCAGGGATTTTTTGAAGGCAAGATACTTTTCTTTTCACTCCAAAAATACAACGGAAGGGGCTCCGGCCTCCTGTCTCCTTTTGGGATTTCAACCAAGCCAAGAATATTACAAGAATGTTGGGGAAAAGGCTATTCTTTGGAAAGGAGAAGAGCCGTGCACTTCCCTGGCCAAACTTGTCGCCAAACAAGCCCTGTTTTGTATTCCCAAAGGATAATTTTTGGGGGATTTTTTTGTCTCTTTTGAAATAAAATCCTAGAGCAATTTTTGTTTGCTCAAACGAAAAGAGACCTAGAAGATGAACAGTTCTCTACCTGACTCACTTTCTAAAGAATTAAGGATGGTGGTTGGCGGCGGTGAGAAGCTGGGGAAAATGACATGGGGGGGGGAACACTATGATTTAATTGGCACATTGTGTCAATGGTGCTATCTACCTAAAAATCAATTTCCATACAGGCAAATGAGGAAGAAACCTTATTTTTTCTGTTTTGTGAGCCACTTTCTGTTCCAAACTTTCTGTTCCAAACTACTTCCTGTTCCCCAAAATTTACTGAACCTATGTACAGATAATCCTTGACTGACAACAGTTCATTTAGTGACTGTTCAAAGTTACAATGGCACTGAATAAAGTGACTTATGACCATTTTTCTCAGTTACAATCTTTGCAGCATCCCCTCAAAATTCAGATACTTGAAACTGGTTCATATTTATGACGGTTGCGGTGCCCCGGGGTCATGTGATCACCTTTTGCGACCTTCTGACAAGCAAAATCAATGGGGAAGCCAGATTCACTTAACAACCGTGTTACTAACTTAACAACTGCAGTGATTCACTTAACTGTGGCAAGAAAGATCGTTAAATGGGGCAAAACTCACTTAACTGTCTTGCTTATCAAGAGAAATTTTGAGCTCAGCTGTAGTCATAAATCAAGGACTACCTGTACGTTGGCTCCTTGTAAGACCTGATGTTGTTTTGTATCCTGTAATCTTGTCTCTGAAGAGAGCAATGCTTGAGTGCATTAGAGTGATAGGATAGCTCCGACTTGCTTGTCCTTAGCAATTTCTAATCTTATTTTAGCTTCGCCAGGCTAAGGAAGAAGAGGTAAAACAGCTCACTCGGATCCGGGATTCTCTCCGAGGCATCCTGCAGCTGGAGAACAAAGGGGTAAAAAGCTTCAAGGGTCCTTTGGGAGGGCAGGAAGAGGGTGAAATGGGGGTCTGCTTAATCAGGATTTCAGGGGTCTATGACAAATTGCAATGGATGCAGTGATTTGCTTTTTTGCAAAAATTTGGTCATGCATTTTGAAGGAACGTCTGAGCACTGCACTGTGCATATTAATCTATTCCATTAAATCAGGCTGTTGCAGTTTGATTGCACTGCCTACATTTTGGTCCCTCTGTTCAAAGTTACGACGACTCTGAACAAAGGGACTTATGAATGTTTTTCACACTTACAACTGTTGCAGCATCCCCATGGTCACATGATCAAAATTCGGATGCTTGGCAACTGATTCATGTTTATGATGTTTGCAGTGCCCTGAAGTCATGTGATCACTTTTTGTGATCTTCTGATAAGCAAAGTCAATGGGGAGGTGAGAGTCACTTAACAACTGTTGCTAATTTAATAACCACAGTGATTCACTTAAAAACTATGGCAAGAAAAGTTGCAAAATGGGCCCAAACTCACATAACTACTGTCTCGCTTAGCAACAGAAATTTTGGGCTCAAGTTTGGCCGTAAGTTGAGGTCTACCAGAATGCAGGAGTGTTGATCGGGGTAGTGTGATGTGTGTGGATATATGTGTGTCTGTGAATTGACTAAAGAAAATAGCTGAAAAGCAAAGTAATTTCCCTGAATTTCTCTTATCCTTTTTTTCAATATTTAAATTCTGATTTATAGTATCCATCTGCACCACAGGAAGTTAAATGTATTGATTAGTTGCTCAAAGTTTTTCAAATTTGGCAACTTTAAGATGTGTGGACTTCAACTCCCAGCATTCCCCAGGCAGCTCAGCAAAGAACTCAGCTGGCTGGAGAATTCTGGGAATTGATGCCATGCATCTTAAAGTTGCCAAGTTTGAAAAACCCTGTTTTTAGATACTGTGTTTCCCCCAAAATAAGACCCAACTGGAAAATAAGCCTTAGCATGATTTTTCAGGATGCTCGTAATATAAGGCCCACCCCCAAAATAAGCCCCAGTTAAGATAATCAGCCAGACACATTTAGTACCGAATATAAGCCCTAATGCATCTTTTGGAGCAAAAATTAATATAAGACCTGGTCTTATTTTCAGGGAAACACGAGATAGTTTTTAAATCCAACTGCTCCCCATCATCCCTGATTTGTATGCTCTTTCAACAATGCTAATTAACAGGCTGCATGTCTATAAAACTGTCCAAGAATATTTTTATTTTGCTATTTTTTTTCAGCTCAAACAAGTCCAGTCTGACAGATTGGACTTCTAATAGCTTGCTTTGGCCTGCCAGTATGTGGAAGGAAGCCATCAGATAGTTCAAAAAAAGATTTTGAGCAGTAGCAGCTGCATCATGAGGTGCCATGAAATAGCCTAGGAACTGTTGTGTGGCACCTAATAGGTGCCAACAGATGTATGGACTTCTGCCTTGGTGCCTACCAGTTCTTAGCTCCATGGCATGTTAGAGATGCTTTAAAAATGCATTTAATTTTTTTTAATAAAGGAAATTATTTGCCAACTTCCAGCTTTATTTTTATCTAGGCCGCTTGGACTCAAATAAGTTCTATTAGCTTTCTTAGAAAATAAATAAGAGAAATGTTCCCAGGTGGTGGTTTTGATCTTAAAAGCCTGTCATGGCATGGTTTGGATTATTTGAGGGATTCTTCTCCCAAATTATATCAGCCTGTCCCATCAGATCTGGGGTATGCTATGGGTCCTGTTGGCTAGGAAGCTACATTTGATGGGTCTCATAAGATAGACATCCTCTGCTGTGGTGTCTGCCCTATGGGTCATCCCTCTGTCCCTGAAGTGAGGTTGGCTCCATCCTTGCTGATATTCTGGAACTCACTCAAAATCTGGTTATGCCATCAGGCTTGGGGTCTCCAGGGGTCCAGTGAGATGGTCTATGAGGTGGCTCCATTGTTATTAACATCTCCTGTTTCCTCTTGGCCTTCTGCTTTTGTTTTTATTTTAAATAACTGTTTTTATATATTAGTTGCTTTATTAATTTTATTATAAATCACTCAAAGTTACTTTTTCATCAGATGAGCAGCCATATAAATTTAACAAATAAATAAGTAATTGCATATATCCCAAAGCTTAATGGGGTGAATGCATCTACCTGGCATTCCAAAATGGACAGCAAGAAGCCAGAATAATTGAGAGCATTTATGAAGGTGAGGCTAAAGCAGTATTTTTCAACCATAGCAACTTTTATGGACTTCAACTCCCAGAATTTTCCATCTAGCCATACTAGCCTGGGGAATTCTGGGAATTGAAGTCTACAAATCTTAAAAGTTGTTAAGGTTGAGAGACGCTGGGCTAAAGGATGAGTTAAAATAGCAAGATGGTAAACCAGGGCTGTTCTCTGCTGCATGAATTTGTGAGCCACTGGCAGCCATCTTGCCAGGGGATCCATAACTCTTATCAAAATCTTCAGAGTGCTGACACAATGTTGGGAGATGCCCAAGTTAGCTTATGAAATAAATTTATTTCTTTTGCATTCAGGAGAATCTCAACAGAAAGAACTCTGGCAGTGGGTACAGCATCCATCAGCATCAAGGCAATAAACAGTACGGGACTGAGAAGTCTGGTTTCTTATATAAAAAAAGTGATGGGTAAGCTCTCAGGGTGCTTTGTGCTGCATCACAGGGTAAGATGGGTGGAAGTAGGCATTTGTAAGCCACGGTTATTCCCATTCCCAGTCCTTCTGTGCAAGTGGAAGATTTTACGTGTCAAAGAATCATAACCTTTTCCCGAACCACTACAGATATTTGAGAACAAACATGTCTTTTTCCCTTCACCCCCTAAAAAGGAAATGAAATAAATAGATTACAACTCACTCTCTTCCCTCCAAACCACATACTTATGCTAAATGTACTTGCTTGGTTTTGTGTTTGTGTGTGTATCTATATATCCATATATCTAAGCTGCAAATGGAGGAAAGGACTGTCCACAGACTGCAAACCTGCAAAGAAACCCTGGCTTTGCTCTGACTTCAAATAAACTACCGTGGGAGCTAGAAAAGAAAATAAAGCTGACACAGATCTCAAAACTAACCAATGTTCTGCAAAAACAGAGATCTGAAGTTGACATGAAATGGGAGTGCCCACTGACTGAAAAGAAGACAGCATTTTCCAAAATGCCTTATCAACATTTTATTTTAATTAACCCATTCATTTCTGAGATATCAAACTCTATCCCTGTTTTCAAGGGCAACCTGTGGATTGCCCACCCTCTGTTCTTCTTTCCAAAACTGTCATAATCTCATCAAGAGAACATCTTTCAGAAATTAGATATTTGGGTACAGCTCCAGAAAAGGATTGTCATCTAGTTCTATCCCATTTCTTACATCTGAGAAAGTAGGCCTATGATATTTTGCTTGGGAAAGTTCGCTTTACAGTGAAAATGTTAAGTGAGGATGGGTACAAAAGGTATCATTTTCAAAAATGAATTGTTTCAGGAATACTAGAATCTCATTTATTTCCCCTGGATCATGCTGTTGCCAGGCCATGTTTGTGACGCCACAAATCATGTTGGATCAGCCCTGGAATTGCCAGACTGATATTAATAAAGGAGAATATTTGTAGCTCAGGGTTGACATGAGGGGTCCTTGGTGCTCTCTAAGCTTGCTTGTTTTCTTGCAGATATTTCATTATCCAAACTAGGTAACATTATTAGTACTACATGAGCACTGATGATGTTACCTAATTTGGGTAATGAAACGTCTGCAACAAAACAAGCAAGCTCAGAGAGCATCAAGGACTAACATTGTCTGGAAGGCCAAAAAAAATCATTCTTCCGTTTCCTGGAAAGTTCAATTCCCTAAATGGTATATTTTACACATTCCTGTTTGGCTTCTACAGTGCTAAAGCATTTTACTCAATTTTTTTTTTATCACCATGTTGTTTGCTTAATGATAGAATTGGGCAGCCTATACTTTTAGTAGTAGACAGACAGACAGATTCATTCCTGATAAGATGTTCTGGTAGCAAAGGGTGGCAAACCCAGATCTATAAAACCAGGAACTATATCATGTCCGTTTGATGGCCTCTGACACAGGCTAATTCTCAATATTGTGTTCATTTGTCCTTCCTCTTTGCTTGTCCTAGAATTCGGAAGGTGTGGCAGAAGAGAAAGTGTGGAGTGAAATACGGATGTCTCACTATTTCTCATAGCACAGTAAGTGGGGTGGAGGGTGGAATTTGCTCCATCACTGAAAGCTTTTAAGAAGAGACTGGACAGCCACTTGTCAGAAATTATATAAGGTCCCTTGCTTGAGAGTGTGTGTGTGTGTGTGTGTGTGTGTGTACTAGAAGACCTCCAAAGTCCTTTCCAGCTTTGTTATTCTGTTCTATTCTGCTTCGTGTTGATGTACCATTGGGAAATATTTAAACTAATCTCTTTGTATGCTTAAGGTGGTTCTGGTTTCATCCATGTTTTGGTTTTGCATAGTACATTGAACCATGCATCAACCAAGCAGGATGGATGCAAAGAAGGTGCTAAGACTGGACAAAAGAACTAAAAGTCTGTGGTATGAACATAGCTGACAGGCTTGTCCAGAACACTCCATTTCCTTCTGGATAGGCTATTCCACAGGACCTTCCCCAGCCCAGCATACGGTAGTTTGGAAAGAGGTTCTGGTGTATTCTGGAAATAAACAGAACATTCTAGAATTCTCCAGAATTTTCTGTTCCCGGAATGAGGGCTTTTGCACATTTCTGTTTATAATGACCTGATTAAACCTATTGCCTGAATATAACCAACAAGAATGGAATGGAAAAGGTCCTGCATTTTATTTGATTGTGGCCTACAAGGAGGGTGCAAGATACTATTTTCTGTAATGAGAATGTATCATATTCTCTTGGAATGTGCTCTGGCAAGCCCCAGGTCTTCTCACATGAGGAATTTAAAGATGTAATCCATCGTGGCTGTCTGTGACAGGCTGGATCCCTGCAAAGTAGATTTCACTGCAGAGATGGTAGCAAATGAACATTGTTGACTATCTGTCTTGCCTTGGCTACAAAACTTTTAGGAGGGGAAAAATCAACCATTCATGAAAATTGAAAGAAATGGAATAAAAAGTGGACTAGATGGCTATTTAATTTGTATTTAAAAACTTTGGAAACTGCACACAAATCCACTGAAATATTTATGTGATAGCAACTTCCAGGCAGGTCTTAAGAAACTAATTCACTGAGAACTTTGGTGAACTTCTTTATAATTCCAGGCTTTTTAAACTTTCAGTCTTTATCTGATTATATTGTCTGCTGTACATCTGGTTGTGTCCTCCTGTGCCACATGGCAAATAAATATCTTTAATATAGAATTAGAGTAAATGTCGATAATTTGATTTATTGGTAATATTTGTCCATTATTACTCAGAATGTGATAAATGAATTAGGAAACACATACAGTCTTCGACCTACAGCAGTTCATTCAGTAACCGAGGTTATAACAGCACTGAAAAAAGTGACTTATGACTGTTTTTCACACTTACGACCATTGCAGCATTTCCATGGTCACATGATCAAAATCCGGAAACTTTGCAACTGACTCATATTTATGATGGTTGTGGTGTCACGGAGTCACATGATCCCCTTTTGCGACCTTCTGACAAACCAAGTCAATGGGGAAGCCAGATGCACTTAACAACCATGTTACTAAATTAATAACTGCAGTGATTCACTTAACAACTGTGGCAAGGAAGCTTCTAACATGGAGCAAAATCCACTTAACAAATGTCTCGCTTAGCAACAGAAATGTTGGCCTCAACTGAGGTAGTAAGTTGAGGACTACCTGGAATATTTGTATTTGACAGAGATACTGGTTCATCATCCCATCTTTTCTTGAACAGATAAACCGTCCGCCAGTAAAGTTAAATCTCTTGACTTGCCAAGTGAGGCCTCATCCAGAGGATAAAAAATCCTTTGATCTTGTGACCCGTAAGTAAATATTTTATCATATTACTAGGGCTGTGTTGTCCTCTTTAAATATCTTGTACCGGAATAGCTCCAAACAGAATGCTTTTTCTCACATTTCTTTCATGTTAAGTTTAAAATTGGTTGGAGACAGTTATTTGAAACGATTGGAACTAGATTAAAGTGAAAAGAAATTGTTATTGCCACCTACTCATTATGGCTACGAAGTGTAGAGATTTTTTTTTATACAGGGAAACATATGCAAGAGTCTACGTAGGAGTAACTATGATCTATCTGCCAATAGCAGTCCTCATTCTGTCTACACTGCTCTTGAGTTTTGCTCTGGTGATTGACTACTGGAATAATTAATTCTCATGACTTGAAAACTAGGATGTTATTAATAGTGCCTAAAATCACATTTTTTTGCAGTTGCATTGCACTGCCAACCCATTCTTAGGTTACAATTTATCTAATTTATCTACCCTCAACATTTCCAAGAAGAGGTCAAAAAGAAGCATGTTTATGGATGAGACACAGATAAGCCCCACTCTTTGGTACATGTGTTAATGTCAAAGGTCCATGTACAAAAGGAACATAACTTCAAACATTCTATCATGTCCACCACCTTGCCTCTTTTGCAGACACCACTATGCATATTTCAAGTCCTATTACATACTTTCCTGAAATGTGGAACTTTGTTTTGATAATGTTCTGTCTTTGGGGACATGTTAATTCTTCCTATTTGTGAACATTGGATAAGAATTTGCTCCATCATTCAGTTAAGTCATTGGTGAATCATAGAGTCAATAGAAAGCCTTTTGACTCTTCAGCTTAAGTGGTTCAGCTTGATATGATTATAATAGATACACACCATTATGTTGGTGTCAACTCTTAGCATTCATGTAGATAGATTTTCTCCGGGGTCATCGAGCCTCAGCCTGGTTCTTCAGCTCTTCCAGTGGTGTCCTTATCATTGATTCAACTGAACCATCATCATCCTTTTCTTCTTTTTCCTTCCACTTTTATGAGCTTTATGCTGCAGAGAGTTAGGTCTTCAAATAATGTGTCCAAAACATGATAAACATTTATATAATTATCATATCAGAGCCTAGTGACAACTCTGGCTTGTGCTGTGTGATCCATGTGTTTTTTTGGCTATCCTGGTGTTCTCAAGAACCTTCTTCAACATCAAATGTAAAAAATGACAATAGTCTTTATGTTTTATTTCCTCAAAGTCTGTATAGAGTGCCACAGGGAAACCCTCTGTATTAATAAGTACCCTCTGGATATAATTAATTCTTTTACCAGGTATGAATCCCTAGGACAGAGTTCTGGACTGTGTCCAGAAGAACCTCAAATTGTATAACTAAAATTCAGAGGCAAAATTTCCAAAATCCTGTTGCATGATTCAACAATATTTTACTATAAATAAGCAAGGGTTTTGGTCTCTGGAGAGCTCCCAGGCCTATAAACATTCTTATTTAAAGCCTATACAAAACAATGCTGCCAAAAATAAGGAATTTTGCTGTTGAATTTTTACAACAATTTTGGGCTTTCTGCAGTTGTTGATGGGGAAGAGGACAGACATATTACCCGTGTGTGTGTGTGTGTGTGTGTGTGTGTGTGTGTGTGTGTAAAAAGCTGAAAAAAAACCAGTGCAGACTTCTTTGCATATTTAATATTTGCTTTCATTATGTTATCTCTGTACTCTCTCCAGCTTCTCCCACTAACAATAAAGATTAATTTTTTAAAGTGCCACCACTATTATTTATCCGTTTCTTATCTTCAAAGGAGTCTCTTGTTTCTCTCCCTCTCCCTCTCTCGTTTGCAGACAATAGAACATACCACTTCCAAGCAGAAGAAGAGCAGGACTGTATAGTGTAAGTTTGAGGATTCTCGGTCTCTTGTCGCATTTTTGAATGGGAAAACCGTGAACTAGAAATATTACTTGAGGATTGAATTAATGGAATAGGTCTTCTACTTTACTTATGTCTATCATATTTGTGTAATAAATTAAGACCTGGATACTACAGAGAATCAGCAGTTCCTTTCTGCCAAATATGCAGACTCATTGAGCAAGCTAGTGGGCTAGCGAAAGCAGATGGAGGGGTGAAATACCTTGATAAAGTCGCTGCAGGAAGAGGTTATCAATAGCAGAGGCTACTGTAAAGGTGGGGTACAACTAATCTAGCACAGACATTACCAAATAGAGGAGCTTATCCAACAGCTGAGATGAGACACGGGGAAAGCTGTTCTCAACTTTGGCAACTTTAAGCTGTGTGGACTTCAACTCCCAGAATTCCCCAGCAGCATTCTGGGAGCTGAAGTCTAAACAGCAATGCTGGCTGGGAAATTCTGGGAGCTTAAGTCCACACAGTTTAAAGTTGCCAAGGTTGAGAAACACTGTCCTAGAGGTTTCCAGGCATGTGGACTTCAACCCTCAAAATTCTTAGGATTCACCATGCCAGCTTTGAAATTTGTCAACTGAAGTCCACACATTTGGTGGGTATGCCAGTACATGTGCTTAGCTTGCTAAGCCAAGGCCTTTCATGAAATATGTTTACATTATAATGAAGCAGGACAAGGTCCGTTTCCTTGTAATGCTCTTCTGATAACTTCACAGGGAGGGAATGTGGCCAAAAGGAACTTAACTTACCAGCCAGGGATAATATATATGCTATTTATTTACAGTATTTAGCGTACAGTACAGAGCAGAAAGATAACAATAATACAATTATATAGAAAGAACGCATAATACTATGATACACGTATGATGGAAATATGTAGTCAGTTTTGTAAGGTTTGAGGAATTTAAAAAATTACTTATAAGTTATTGGTTACTTTAAAAAATGTCAATTCAAAAGAATAGGGTAAGTGTTCTATATACAGTATATAGGTCATTTATTCAATTAAGCACAATTAATATACTTGCTGTTGTTGTAGAAGGAATACAACAAATAATTCAGAAACGTAAATACTTGACTCTCATCCACCCATTCCTATATTTATGGGATCTGACATTCCAAAGTGGCTGATTACAGCATGGGACAGATTCCCTTTTTGCTGACTGTGTACAAGTCCACACATAATACATACATTGATGTGAATTGTGGCCTTTGGATTAAACAGTTACATCATATATGTTGACTTCCTTCACTCAATCAGTTGCATCCTGGTTGGTGCTTTCTTCCATTGGACAGGTGGGTTTCGGTGCTCCAGAACAGTAAGGACGAAGCCCTTAGCAATGCTTTCAAGGGGGACCCAGGAGGTTCTGTGTCTTCAGCGGGCGGCATGGCCAACAGTGGATTGCAAGAACTCACCAAGCTCATCATTGACGAAGTGAAAAACATGCCAGGAAATCGATGGTGCTGTGACTGTGGAGCCCCAGGTGGGTTGCAGCAGCCCACTGCATCCTTTTTTTGTGCAAGGGCTCCCACGTGCTCAAGCACTTACAGCCAGTGGTGGGATTCAGCTGGTTTGCACCACTTTGGCAGAACTGGTAGCTAATTTTTTTGTTGCCCGGGTCCAGAATGGACTTCCGGAAGCAGCATCCACACAGAGAACTGGTTGTTCACATATTTGAATCACACCATTTACAGTCAGTTCTCAACTTACAACTGCAATTGAGCCCCAAATTTCCACTGCTAAGCGAGAAAGTTGTTATGTGAGCTGTGCCCCGTTTTATGATCTTTTCCCCACAGTTGTTAATCACTTCAGTTGTTAAGTGAGTTGTGTAGCCATTAAGCAAATCTGGCTTTCTCCATTGATTTGCTTGCTGGAAGCCAGCTGGGAAGATTACAAAGGATTATCACATGACTCCAGGACAGTGTAACTGTCATAGATGCATGCTAATTGCCAAGTGCCCAAATTTTGATCACACGAATGTGGGGATGCTGCAATGTTCATGAGTGTGAAAATGGGTCATAAGTCCCTTTTTTTAGTTCCATTGTAACTTTGAATAGTCACTAAATGAATGGTTGTAAGTTGAGAACTCCCTGTAAATTTAGGAGACTTGGGACTGATGAGATTGGATCAAGATTGGATCGGTTCAGATCCTGCTTGAGAGAGCAGGATAACTTTCCCACCACTCTGGTGGCCTAACATGATTTGACTGACAAATCACCCGGAAATCCGTGGGCAGAGAATGCTCAGTGTAGTAAAGGGCAGGGGAGAGAGAATGGAAAATGGCACAACTGTAGCATCCAGGTCAAGGGCATGCTAGATTGCAACTGTTGCAGCAGGCTTAAAGGACAAATTTCAGAATGTCTCAGTAGGTCGTGAAGAGCATCTCATCTGCAGTAGAGAACTGGGGTGTGTTATGTGTTTCATTGAACTGGGAAATAAATGCCTGTTTGCAGTATGAGTAAGAGAAGGACGTGTCGTTATGTGTATGTCATAGCTTCTTCCTGGATTGTTGTCTTGCAGATCCTACCTGGCTCTCCACCAACCTTGGCATCTTGACTTGTATTGAGTGCTCAGGGATTCACCGTGAGTTAGGGGTTCACTATTCCCGCATCCAATCTTTGACACTAGACGTGCTCAGCACATCGGAATTGTTGGTAAGTGCTAACTCTCAGATTGGAGAGAACATTTTCTTTCTGCTATTTGAGGACTATCCATAATGGTTAAGGTCCTGGACTTAAGAGAAGGAGACCAAGGTTCATGTCCACTCTCAACCATGGAAACTGACTTTGAACTGGTCATTCTCTTTCAAGCCAGAATATCTCACTTTGACTTCCTGAGAAAAGGCAGCAATAATAACAACAAATCCAGTCTAAACATCTGGCTGACTGTGCAACTAACCATAATAATAATAATTAAAGGTAGCTTTACTTGGAATAGCTTATATATCCTGCAACGATATCTGTAACACCATCAAGCATCCACATCTGCCTATCCCAGGTCCTTTGGAAGAACTCGAAAGGCAGAGAAAAATACCAATTTCAGTCTGAACATCTGGCAGATTATGTGACAAACCATAGTAATGATATTCTTCTATACCACACTGGCCAAACTTTCTTCTAGATTGTAAATGGAGATGGGTATAAAATAGCACCCCAAGTGTTCTTTCTCAGCCTCTTGCCTTCGTTTTTACTTTATTGGCTAGTCCAAAATGGCTTGTGGATGCTCTTGACCAGGGGCCTTCAAACTTGGCCCTTTTATGACTTGTGGATTTCAACTCTCAGAATTCCTCAGCCAGCGTGCTTGGCCAAGGAATTCTGGGAGTTGGAGTTCACAAATCATAAAAGGGCCAAGTTTGAAGACCCCTGCTCTTGACTCTTGATATGATACGATGGTTCCCCATCTTGCCAGTGACACAATGGCCCTTATCTCACTTACAGCTGGCAGTCAGCATTGGAAATGCCAAGTTTAATGAAGTCATGGAAGCCACCTTGCCAATCCAGAACAGCCCCAAACCTTCTTTGAGCAGTGATATGTAAGTGATATGGGCATTGCTTTGGTGGGGACAGAGTTGGGATGGGGGATGGCTTTGGAGACATCTGATGAGGACAAGTGTGGGGCAAAAACATTCACCGGCTTCTTAGTCTTGCTATTTTTTCTATATTTATTCCCCCTCCCCCCCAAAAAATCTGCTTTCATCAATAGGAAAACTTGAATTTTGCTACCCAAGCTGTGCACAATTTTAATAAATATAAATGTAATAAATAAGCAAATAATTGTGACTTTGCAATTTAACTCTGATATTTAGAAATCTGCTCCTTTGCTTTCCCCAGCTGAATGCTTTACCAGCTGTTGTCTATCAAGACTATCTTATTAGCCATGGATCTAGCAACCTGTTAGCTATAGATCAGAATTAATGATGGATGCTCTGTACATAACATCCATTCCTTCACATGTGTAACATTTGGGGTCATGCTTAACAGCAGTCTTTAGGCTTCAAAATGACTTCCCCCTGGACTTGATACATCTCTGCATCACATCCACAGCCATCTCCAGTCCTTCAAATCTTGGCAATCCCTGCTTCTAAATACCAATTACTTGAGGACTAAACAGTGGGGATGGATAAAGAAGCACCTGCCCACTGAAAGTACAGTGGTACCTTGGTACTCAGTTGCTTTGAAACTCATCAAATTTGGTACTCATCGCATTTTGACTTGAAAATTTTGTCCTGGTACTCATTGTTTGTTTGGTACTCAATGCATGAGCTAGAACGTGTCGGTGTCAGCTGCCTTGTGACTCACTACAGTATTCCTTAATGTAAAAAATGAGATTGGTACTCATCATTTTTGGTACTGATCACACCTCCTGGAACCAAATAAATTAGTAATGAGGTACCACTGTAATAGAAGATAGAGCTGACTGAGCTGAGCCCTTCTTACGAACCTGTAAGGCAGGGGTCCCCAACTTATGGCCCGTGGCCTGGTACTGAGCTGTGGCCTATTGGCCACCAGGCCCCAGGAATTGTGGTAGCACCGCCACACGGGCATAGCAGCCCCATTTGTGCATGCGCGGGGATGCTAGCACCACCACCAATGTCATGCAGGCATATGTGGCCCATTTGTGCATGCGCATAGGTGCCAGTGCATGTGCCGTGGGTGCATGCAGCCCCTGTGCGCATGTGCATATGGAGCCTCAAGCGCACACATTTCCCTGCTGCTCCCTTTCTTTCCAGGCCATCAAACCGGAAAGATTGGAGAACTTTGCTCTAAGGCAAAGGTGGGGAACAAGGGCCCCTTTAATGACTTGTGGACTTCAACTCCCAGAATTCCTAAACCAGCATGGCTGGCTCAGGAATTCTGGGAGTTGAAGTCCACAAGTCATAAAAGGCTATTGCTCCCCACCCCTGCCCTAAGGTCTAAAAAAAACACTTTTGGAGAACTTTTCCTCTTCCCAAATGCAGGAATACCAGGAAAGAATTCATCATGGCAAAGTATATGGAACGCAAGTATGTCCACAAAGTTACCAAGGAAGATCCTTATCGAGTTTGGGAAGCTATCCGAAGCAGGGATCTCTTGGCACTGCTTCAGGCTTTTGCTGAAGGCCATGATCTGTCCAAACCTCTTGTGAGTCCTGAAGGTCAGGTAAGTGGGACAAGAAATAGGAGTCAGCAAAAACATGGCTGCTTGGAGAAATGACTTTCACGTTTCTGATTTTTATTTAGATTGGTTTTTTTTAACATAAAAGTTTTCATCTTGAAATCAGGCACGTTTTATTGTTCCTGGGCACTATAGTGATCCAAATCTTCTGAGGATTTGATTTTTAATAATGGCTATTTTTAAAAACTTCATTTTTTGTGGTTTTATCTGGCTAATGGCTACTATGGCATAGGTGTTATAACAAAAGCTCACATCTGACACCTATGAGGCATCCTTTAATATCAACTTAGGATAGTAAAGAGCCCTGGTGGTGCAGTGGTTAGAATGAATATTGCAGGCCAACTCTGCCCAAGTCTGGAGTTCGATCCTGATGGGCTGAAGCTTAACTCAGCCTTCCATCCTTCCGAGGTCAATAAAATGAGGACCCAGATTGTTGGGGGCAATGTGCTGATATTGTAAACTGTCCAGAGAGTGTTGTAAAGCACTATGGAGCGGTATATAAGTCTAAATGCTATTGCTATTGCTATCAACTTGATGTAATATAATTCAGATGTCTTTGTGGTTCACTTCTTATTTTTATTTTGGTTTGACCTCTATCATAGAAAGTTTTGCAGAGTGTTTCTCCTTCTTTTTTCTAATAGGAACAAGGTGAACCAGCCTTGCATTGGGCAGTACGCTACGCCAACAAAACTTCCCTTCCGTTGGTGGATTTCATTATTCAGAATGGGTAAGTCTTAGATTGAAGAATTCTTGTTACTGGATTCTGAGGCCTCTTCTGGGAAGTCTTCTTCTGTTCCTAGTATGATTTGTGTTGAGGAAGAGTAAGAATTAAACTTACTAGCCTTGGCCACATGCTTTCAAAGCAGCAAGCATCTCTACTTATTTAGACTCCTGATGCAGTTTGCAATAGATGCTGCCCATTTTAATTCCTTCTTGCCCTCCAAATTTATTTGCAACCTTCAGAGGTATAAGTTGTAAAACTTATTGGAAGATTGCACTGGCAGAACTGGGGAGAAAAGGGTGACTGTTCAAACAAAGCTGTGTTTCTATTTGCAGTTCACTTTGGAAGTACAAATCTATTCCTTGTGCAGAATGTGTCTTATGTCCATTTTAAGAACTGAGGTTTTCCATGATTTACAGTAGGGGTCCCCAATCCCCGGTCCATGGACCAGTACCGAGCTACGGCATGCCAGCAAATGGGCCACACAAACAAGCAAAGCCCCATCCGCGGGATGCGGGCAGCACAAAAAACCACGCACCCTCTGGTCTGCGGAAAAACCTCTCTCCACAGAACCGGTCTCTGGTGCCCAAAAGTTTGGGGACCTCTGATTTACAGAACAGAACAGAATATGATTCTTTATTGGCCAAGTGTGATTGGACACACAAGGAATTTGTTTCTGGTGCATAAGCTCTCAGTGTACATACAAGCAACGTGGTAACTTATGATCATAATCGTAAAATACAATCATCATAAATCATAAGATACAACACTCAGTGATAGTCATCGGATATTAAATAGGCAATCAATATGAATCATAAGATACTAAGTAAAAGCAATCTTACTAAATAAGTAACATTTAGTTTTATTAATTTATTAATATGAATAAATCAATAGGATACTAAATAAAAGCATATATAAAAAAAGAAACCTGAAATTTGCCACTTTGCTATCCATCTGTACGTAGGGGAAATCTGGATCGACCCACTATAGATGGGAACACAGCCTTACATTATGGAGTCCAGTATAATCAGCCCAATTGCATCAAGTTGTTGCTGAAAGGGAAAGCTTCCACAAATGCAGGTAGGATGCCCACCTGGCTGGAAACTGAGGGAGAAGGATTGGTAACTTCAGAGTCTTATTGCCAAGGAGTTTGCCGCCAATCCTACCATAAGGCAGAGCGATGCAACCGGCTTGGATGGCAGATGGCCAGAAGCAACCCTCATACATTTTCCTCCTGAGCTTCTTGTTTATTCTTGCTTTCTTGGAGGATAAATTGTGTGTGCCAAGCTTGTTTTATGGCCCCAAACCTGCCTACTGTTCTCAGCATGATAGAAGACTGGAGCCCATTGCCAGGACTGGAATAAAAATAAAATATAGCTGTCTGGTCAGGTCCTGTCAATGGAATTTTGCAGGCTGGATGAGAATATTATCCTTTGCAACATCTTGTAGAAGTGTAGATTCCGAAAAGTTTTTTCCATGGAAAAGTTTGGGGATTCTTTAAAAAGAAATGCTTTCTTTGATCAGTTGAATAATATGGTGGGCAAATACAGGAAGGTTGGGTGTCTGGGCTTTGATGAATGTAATACCATCATATTTCTATTAAAATATATAATAAGCTTAATGTGATTATCCCTATGAAGTGCAAATGTCTACACACCACACAGAATTATGATGTATCTGTCCTAGCTGTTTGTGGAGCACATTGCTTGAAAACCTCCAGATTCAGATTGGTCTGTCTTTTTGGTTCTTCTCTAGTAAATGCAGCTGGTGAAACGCCTCTAGATATGGCAAGAAGATTCAAGAACGCTGAATGCAAAGACTTGGTAGGTGGAGGTAAGGGGGCCTAAGACCTTAGGTGGAAGAATTGTGCCTTCCAGATAATGTTACTTCACAATGGCCATCCTCTTGACCAGTGGCCAGGCTGCATTGACAACTTTCCTACAGCAGGAAGGTCTCAGTTTGAGGAGTGCGTAGACTGAGATGTTGGAGAGAGCAACCAGTCAGAAGGTCTTTGATATTGGGGGAATCAGACCCTGGATGGGAGCTCCAAAGGAGGTGGGCTTTTCTCAGACTGCTGTCTAAAGCAGAGGATTTCCTTTGCATGATGTCAGCCTGGAGAACGACATCATAACCTTTGAAGAAATAGAAGAACCTCTTAGATGATGAACTGACCAAGGATGTTCTTTTATCCTTTTGTGATAGCTGGAGCAGGCCCAGGCTGGGAAGTTGGCTATGCATGTGGACTACGACTGGGAAACTTCTCAGGAGTTCTCGTATGACAGTGAAGATGAGCTAGATGAAAAGGTGCTGAGATAACAATTCCATTTGTTTTTGTTTTACATCATATAATGTTCCAGGTGGGACAGTCCCGTGTCAGTTTTCCTTTCTGTCAAGAAACATGGCAGTGATATTAAAGCTTTGTCTGTAGCTTCCTTCAGCTTTCTCTAACTGGCTGTGAAAAGAAACACCAAAAGGTTGGTTGACCTTAGGCTGTACAAGGAAGGATTTAACAGAGGTCTTCAACACATTGGCTGCATTCCCTCAAAGTTCTTAAGCTGGTGATTGAATTAACCCATTTTCTACTGAACCATAAATTGACCAAATAAGCTTGATTTTTCATCACAAGCTAAGCCACCAAGATTCCCCCTAAACAAGCTCAGAATATTGTACAAATGCATTTGCTAAATCTTATCAGACAAAGAAGAAGATGTCATCAGCACCTGGCCTGCTTTAGCATATTGTGAGAACGTAGCCAGATTAACTCTTGCTTCAGTAATAAGGTCCCCATCTTCTCCTCATCTAACTCTCTGTGTTTCTTTTGTCTTCTTACTTCTACCCAACTTTCTGCAAACTCCAGTTTAGAGGACACACATGTTGCTCTGTCAAGCAACAGTGGGATATTTGGCTTCATATTTTGCCTGGATTCACCTTAGGCCAGTTGGTCACAATGAAAAATAAGATGTTGGATTAGATGGATCTTTGGCCTGATCCCACCATGTTCTTCTTAGCTTTGTTTTTCTGGTGTCTGCTTGCTTGTGTCCCACCAACCTTCATGTTTGCCCTATTCCTATTAATTGGTTTCCTTATTTTCAGTCTTAGTAGCATGAAGGGTATCAAGTGCCATAAAGTTATTGGATTCAATTCTTTAGAGAAGGGTTGGATGGTATAAGAGTGCTGGGAATGGATGAAGGAGAAGCAAAAGATATACAGGGCAAGTGACAGAGGGCTCCAGGTGCTGATGACATCTTCTGCTTTGTCACATAGATTAGCCCACTGCAGCGATCTTTTGGGTCTTCACCATCTCCAACCACCGGCCAGCCCACTCTCTTCTCTTCAAATCGGTGGGGCTGCTCTGGCATGGATATCAGCAACAAGACCTACGAGACCATTGTGATCCCTTTGCAGTCTGGTCAGCGAAACTCAACCAGTGAGAAGACCCCACCACCATTGCCACTCAAAAAGCCCCCCAAAGGGAGCAGCAAACCAAAACCAGGTGAAGCAAAAATGTTGGCAAGCCAACCAAGGGAAATGTCAAAGCTTTTCATGGGTGAAGCTGTGCATTGCCGTCCCATTCATTCCAACAGGATACTTGTAGCATCCTTCCATGTTGTACAATGATTTTTTACAATACGTATTAAGAATTTGGACTGATATATTCTAGTTCAGGGCTGAGAAATGTATGATCTTGAAAGTATGGTTGAACTAGAGTGCTCAAGAACTGGGGCCCAAATGACCAGTGATATGAAGTGATTTTGATGGGCAACAAATCCCCCATTACTCTTCAAATGGCTGGCTTCATTGCCATGATAAAGCAACTATTTAAAGCAGGGATGTCCATCTCTGTCATCCTGTGGACTTCAATTCCCAGAATTCCCCAGCTAGCATGGATTTAGAGCTTCTGCTCCCGTGAGTGATTGTTTCCTTTGCTTTCCAGATGCCTCTGAATTACTACCCCATTCACCAGACAGCCCCAACATTTGGAACTCATCCATTTCCAGCATCTCCAGTGTATTGGAGGGTGGGCCATTCCGGCAATCACCCAACTTCCGTAACTCTATGGAAGTCAAAGGCACAGCCTATTGGGAAACCTGTTCTGATGCCGAGGGTGCCGCCCAACGGCGAAGATCAGAGCCTGTCCAGATGATAGCTCTGCAGCCTTCCCCTGGAACCTCTCCTGAACCAGGACAAATGCCCCCAGTCAGGTTCAGGTGAGACCAGAGGTTATCAGACCAGACTGTTGCATATTGTCCGTGAGAAGGGTGGCCATGTATATCTCATTAATAAAATAAAAATCAATCAGTTTTAAGTTGAGCAGCTTAGTAAGTTGAGCCCTGGTGGTGCAATGGTTAGAATGCAGTACTGCAGGCTAACTCTGCCCATAACCTGGAGTTCGATCCTGACAGGCTCAAGGTTGACTCAAGCTTCTATCCTTCCAAGGTCAGTAAAATGAGGACCCAGATTATTGGGGGCAATACACTGGCATTGTAAACTGCTCAGAGAGCGCTGTAAAGCACTGTGGAGTGGTAGATAAGTCTAAGTGCTATTGCTATTATTAGCAGCAGTTTACAATGTTTGTATAGTTTTCAGCTAAAATCTATGGAAGGACTTGGCAACTGGAGTTTATTGAATATACTATGAGTAGGCAGACTATGAATTAGTGCAGTATGTAGTCTGGTAGTTGTCTAATTTAGAGAATAATTTCTAGTTCTCTGTGTTTGCAACCCAGCCATTTTCCCTGCATGTCGCATGAACCAGGCTGTTGCATTAAGCCTTCCATAGCATGGTTGTTTTGCTTACATATCACATGTCACATGAAACCAGCTGGTGGAGAATCCAGGCCAGGTATGGAGCTTCATATGTTGTTCACATGTCTGAATCAATTGCCATTGACACAATGATAGTTTTCCCTATGAAGACGACCAGTATTTAATTTCTCAAATAAACAAACATACTGTAATATTTTTACAGTATTTGTAAAGGAGGGGCGTTGAGGAGAATCTTCAGTAATCTGGCAGCTTGCTGTAGTCAAACACCACTATAAAAGTTATATATAAATAGATCCAAAATTAGGCCATATGTGCGTTGTTTCTAATATTACTTCCTTTTAATAGTATTTATTATATCTATTTAGGCTTGCACCTTCTAGTCATTCATATCTATAAAAGCATAATCTCTCTCTTCAAAAAAGTAGGACTTCTTTTTAGTTTAGATATTAATTCAAAATTGTAACTTGAGAAGATATCCTCCCCATTCTTCCTGCTTGCACACATACATTATTGTAACATCTGTACCAGATGTGGGTTCTATCCTCTACTATAGGTTTTGCTGATAAATCGGCAAGGAGAAACAAAATAGGCTTTTGACCAAGTCTTTGACCAAGCATAAAAAGGAAAGTGATTGAGGAAAGAAAAGGAACATGAGAATAAACAAACAAACAAACTAGGAATCAATTCTTAATGTTTGGGAATTTCTGCAATGATGATTTATGATGAGAATGGGTTGCAAAAGAAGAAATGGAGAACGCCATCATTCTCAAAGCAGATTCTTTTCTTCTTCACAGAAAGTCACTTTCAGATACTCTGTGATGAAGCAGCTCTCCTGCCTATCTAGTTAACAGTAGTAACAGTGGCAATCCTGAACAGCAGTGACTGTTTGTTATACTTTGCTGTGCATTTTCTGATTTGTTCCACTGAAATGTTTCATAGTCTAGCATGCTCCTGGCTTGCCGTCTCACATCTTCCCTGATCTGCCTACTTCCTGGTTCCATCTGTTGCATGTCTTCCTTAGAGCTCACCACACTTTGGCAGGATTCATATGTCAGGCTAAGCCACAATGTGGCTCTTTCGCTTTTGTCTTTGTGTGGTGTTCAGAAGCATGGCTTGGAAGTCAGTGCTTATGGCATAGCATTCTGTCTGAATTTAAATTCTGGGACCTGTTCAATGGTACAAGGTTAAACACTACAGCTTAACTCAACAGAAGAACCTCAATCATTGTGCTTGGTCAAGTGACTATTGGAGAATGGAAGGGTTAGAAAGCAGCTCGGGGATCATCTACCCTTCTGCTCAGTGGAGGAACCCACCACTGGAGCATCCCCGAGAAATGGCCATTAAGTCATTCTTCTGAGGAAGTCTTAAACCACTCTTACCATGAAGGTGAGATGGACCATGAGCTTAGGCGGTCTATTCCCCATGCTGAACAGGTATCCCTTTCGACAGTCTCACATGAGAAGGAACTCCCCACCACTAGAAATGATTTCTGAGACAGCTTCTTTTCTCCTACAGCTCAGAGAGCACCAGGTCCTATCGACGGATTAGTAGCAGCTCGATGGGTAAATTTTCTGGCACCCCCCTTTCCCCACAGAGCCCTGGTTGCCCAGAAGAAGGGCCTTTGTGCAAAACTGCGGTGCCAGGGCCAACGCCTCTGCCTGTGCCAACGCCAAGAAGATTTGCTCCAGTGAGTTGTGGAGAGACAGCAAGAGGTCGTGATTTTTTTATAGCTTGAGCAGCCTGGTCTGGAGTTGGGGATCTCCTTTCTAGCATTATGCTATCCATAGTACCACTGGGCAGCAATCTGAGCTTGGTTATAGATGGGTGTCTATTTCAGCCTTAGAGCTGATGGCAGCGATCTCAGAAAGCCGGGGGAGACGTAGTTGGCATCTTCCTCCAAGTTTCAAAATAAGAACACATGCCAGGAGGCAGTGATGGATCTACCATGTGTTTTGTAGACCGTAGCGGGTGTAGAGTAATACTGTGCTGGCAAGGGAGAGCAATTGCCTTTGAATGCTCATTTGTGTTACGGTTCCAGGATCTGAGACACCCCCTGTCAATTTAGACACATATGAGGATGTGTCAGTTTTCCATTTTTAAAGTAATGACTCCTCCAGCTAAAATTGTTGTTCATTTATGTCTATGTGTATAAAATATATGAGTACCCTTATAGCCAAGATTATCAGGGAGGAGGGGGAGGGCTTAAAAGACAAAAATGAGAGCCAGTTAAAAAAAATTAGACCTATATAAGACTTAGACAACTTGTGACCTGTTGGGTCCATCTGTTCAGAGAAATTTCATTAACAAATTCCTCAGTGCGTTCAATTCAACAATAACAGAGCACAATAATAGGAAATACTGGGATAAATTCAGAATATATTTGACTGTTGAACTATATAGCATAGTCAAACATCAGCACAGGAAATGTTTTATGGCATTTGATACAGGTAGTTCTCGACTTACAACAGTTCCCTACTTAGTGACGTTCAAAGTTACAACAGCATTGAAAAAGGTGACTTATGAACATTTTTCACTCTTATGACCGTTGCAGCATCGCCATGATCACCTGATTTACATTTGGATGCTTAACAACTGATTCATATTTATGACGGTTGCAGTGTCGGGGGGTCATGTGATCCCCTTGTGCAACTTTCTGACAAGCAAAGTCAATGGAGAAGTCAGATTCACTTAACTGAGTTACTAATTTAACAACTGCAGTGATTCACTTCACAACTGTGGTAAGCAAGGTCATAAAATGGGACAAAACTCAACAACTATCTCACTTAGCAACATAAATGTTGGGCTCAGCTGTGGTCGCAAATTGAGGACTACTTTGTATTATGTCATATTGATCATGACCAGGGTGGATCTGAAGGAGGCGGTGCGAGACAGAGAGGCATGGGGGTGCTGATCCATAGAGTGACCGAGGGTCAGACCGAGGTGGCGCAGCAGTTAGAGTGCAGTACTACAGGCCACTTTAGCTGACTGTGTTCAGCAGGTCAGCGGTTCAAATCTCACCGGCTCAAGGTTAACTCAGCCTTCCATCCTTCCGAGGTAGGTAAACTGAGGACCCAGATTGTTGGGGGTAATGTAAATATATATATACATTGCTTACTGGTGTACACCGCTTAGAGAGTGCTTGCACTTAAAGTGGTATATAAGTCTCATAAATAAATAAAGAAATGACTGAATGGCTGACGGCGACACGATGATCCTGTTTTAGGATCATTTTTTATGCCACAAAATGTTTATAAAATTTGCCAAATTTCAATTCCATGGGAGTCACGGGTCCCAGATTTTGGACTTTTTTCAAAAGTTAGCCCTTTTGAAGGACCTTGGCTGAAAAGGTTTTTGCCCTGTGATGCACCATTTCACCCAGTTAGAGATTATGGGAATGAGAATTTTGGTAGTATATAGATGCAGGGAATGGCAATAAAAATTAAACCCAGATACAGGTAGTCCTCAATTTATCACAATTGAGCCCAAAATTTCTGTTGTTATGTAAGACATTTGTTTTTTTATTTTTAATTCAAATTTTATTAAATGTACATTTAAAAACAGAAGTGGACATGATTCAACTTTTCTGGCTACAACACTGCTATTAGTATTACCTTATGTTACAGAAAGAAAAACAGAAACTTAAAATACATTCTATAACAGGACAGAGTATAACAAACTGTACATATGACATCTGTAAATTTTTTGGTAAACCATCTTTCAGTCATCAACGTTGTATTTACATATCTTTCAGTTGTGTTCTAATATAGGTGTTAATAAGAAGTCCTTAACGATATCAACTAATTAATCGATAATCATCTCAGCGATCCTCCTTATCTCTAACCAATCGTACAAATTTTTCCAAATTTCATAATATTCGGTTTCAGTTTTATTTTTAATCTCTAGAGTTAACCTGTCCATTTCAGCGCAGGATAAAATTTTATTTATTATTTCTTCTTCAGTGGGGGTTTCCTTTCTTTTCCATTTTTGGGCGTATGCCAATCTTGCTTAAAATATGCAATAGTAAGTAGAGAGATGGTTTGCTGAGTTTATCATTAATAATTAGTAAGACATTTGTTAAGTGAGTTTTGCCCCATTTTAATGACCTTCCTTGCCACAGTTGTTAAGTGAATTACCACAGTTGATAAGTGAATCTGGCTTCCCCATTGGTTTTGCTTGCCAAAAGGTTTGCAAAAGGGGATCACGTGACCTTGGGACACAGCAACAGTCATAAGTAAGAGCCAGTTGCCAAGCATCTGAATTTTGATCAGATGATCATGAGGATGCTGCAAAGGTTGTAAGCAGTGGTGGGATTCAAATAGGTAAACAACCAGTTCTCTATGTGGATGCCACTTCCGGAAGTCCATTCTGGGCCTGGGCAACAAAAAATTAGCTACCAGTTCTGCCAAAGTGGTGCGAACCGGCTGAATCCTACCACTGGTTGTAAGGGTAAAAAATAGTCATAGGTTACTTTTTCAGCGCCATTGTAACTTTGAATTATCACTAAGTGAACTGTCTTACGTCAAGGACTGCCTGTATTGCATCTCTACTGCTGCCAGAATGATGTGAACATCCCCATTAAGTTTCTAGGAATTGTGTTTGATTTTTCTTGCAGCTTTCCTCAACCTGGGTCCACATGTACAGACTTCTCCCAGAATTTTCAGCGATGCTTATGCTGACTGGGGAATTCTGGGAATTAAAGTCCATACATTGCCCAAGTGGGTGCCCTGTGATCAAACCAACTGAGAGAGATTTGGTGAAGGTTCATTATGGCAGAGAACGCCCCATGCTGCTCTCATGCAACTCTGTTTACACCCAGCACTGCTGTCATAAAAGCCATCTGGGGAAGCAAGGGATCTTGTCATAAAACTGATAATGGCTGTTCTGCCCTTCACAGGCCAAAGGACGGTTAAAGCGAGTCAAGGCTTTGGCTGACTGCAAAGGGGGCAAGGCCCGGGAGTTGACTTTCTCCAAGGGCGAAGTCATTGTAGTAACACGGGAAGAGGATGAACAAAATTGGGTGAGTTTTGCTGCTTTTCCTCAGGGGTTACGATGGTAGTGCAATTTTCCTTTCAGCTTTAGAAGAGAAGGAGAAGCTTGTCCTTTAGAGAAACCATTTGGGAAGCATTCTTGCAAAGGACACTCAAGTTCTAATCTAGATTATGCTTTTTGTTCATCTTTCCCTCCAAAACTGATCTGCTTACACGCAGCCCCTGATCAGTTCACTTTTAAGAGCCACTTTGGGAGAAAGGGGAGCTAAAAATTCAACATGCAGAGAGAGTAAAGAAAATGACCTTGATAGAGACATGCATAAGCTGTTGGCTAGGGAAAAGGGGATGCAACTTCTAAGTCCAGACTACATTTGGAAGTGGCACATCCCTAATTCACTAATCTATAAGATGGTCGAGGCGCTTGAGCACAATCAGGCTTGCAAGATTCTGTTGCAATAGCCAAACTCAATAAAAATAGTTTTAGCTTTCCTGCCAAGAGGATTTCTGGTTTACCTAATCGACAGTGGTTCTCCAGTTTTCCCGATTGCGAAATTCTCATTTAGGGGGTCTGTGTTAGAGCCATTATTTTACTAGGCAAATAAAAACAACCTCCCAGCTTTTGCACTCTTCTGCCTTTCTATTAGGCTTTGATCCACCAATCCTAATTTGGTACCTTCCAGATGTGTTGGAACTAGAATTCCCAATGTAACTAGAAGGCGCCAGTTTGGAAAATGTGAACTCAATAATAAATGAAATGAGAGGGTAAAAGAAAACCTCCCCAAGCAACTGAGAACTGAGGTGTACAATCCTCTTTGAAAATAGAGAAATCTTTGATACCACCTGCTTTTTCCAAACCTTTGTCCTCTGCTAAAAAACAAGAGATTTTGAGCAGACCTCTTACATAGCTGCAGGTCTAATAAAGCAGGATTGCTTCACATCCAGTTCTTGTCATTTTTACTATGGGAAGAAACTGGGATCAGAGCCTAATGTGCTGCTGCTTTTTATTTGTAGTTGCTCACCCTCATGAGATGTTTTCCTTCCAGGTTGGATTCATTGAAGGTGATGGCACAAGGACAGGTGTCTTTCCCTCCAACTTTGTCCAACCATTGCAAGACTGAGTGGACCCAGATTGGTCTTCTCTGGAAATATTGAGGCAGCATGATCTGCTCTGGAGATGGACAAGGTGTGGAGGCTTGCTGGATCTCCACAGAGACTGGTCTTCCATGGGATGTCATTTCCTTATTCGGTTCCATGATAATGTTGCTAGGAAGAAATGGTGGAATCTGGATTTTGAGGCTCATTTTTGTAGACAGAAAGGGGAGAGGCCATAGATAAAGGACATACATGTCAATATGAGTTGATGGACTACTTTTTGTCCTTTTAATCATAGAGGGGAGATATGTGACATTCATTGTGTAATGTGGAGACTCTACTCCTTGCCATCCGATCTCATTCAATGTGTCCTGTGCCCACTTTGAGCTGTGGAGGAATGGATCCAAGTTCTCCAGTGCACCATTTAG